AAAACAAATAATAATAATAATAATAATAATGACGTTTACAAAACGAGAAAAAAATAATCGTTCAAGTGTATTACCGTAAGTCGTATCAGTTTTACCCCAACCGGCCACGACTCCTATGTAACCTTCAAATGTGTCAGATTGTTCTGGAAGACATATTGGTAATATATTTTCTTTATATTGAACTTTTCTAGATAATTTTAAAAGGGCAATGTCGAATCTAAAACCAAAACGAAAACAATATGTCTGCCATTTTTTTTTTTAATGATTTAAAAAAAAAAAATTTCTCACCTGTCCGGTTGAGTTATTTTAAATTGAAAATGTGGATGAAGAATTTTTTTAGATACTTTATGAATTTCTTCCGGAAGTGGTTCTATGTAATTTCCAGTATTTTGAGTATCGTATTCTCCGAGAAAAACTTTTATGTCTCTCAGTCTCGCTCTAAATAATTTTGATTCGAATTTTTAATTAATATATAATTAGTCATAACCATAAATGAGGGAGAGTACCTGTACGTACGTACCTGTGTATGCAGTGTGCAGCTGTGACGACAAACCATTGACTAACCAGGACACCGCCACATTGGTACCTTAAAAAAAAAAAAAATTCAATTTAATATCAGTTCTTTTATTATTATTATTATTATTATTATTTATTTCACGGACGTGAAGTTTTGTCCTTCTTTATGTATCATATTTTAATAATACTTTTATCGTGTTAATTTTTTTTTTTTATGTATAGTAATAATTGTTTTTGTTTAAGGTTTAAGATTTATCAAGACAACAACAACAACAACATCCGTTTCCTTTCAGATATAAACATTGAGATTAATTTTAAGTATGTTGTTAAAAACAAAAAAATTATTATTATTGTTTAAATGGGTTTTGTCGTTTAAAAAAAAAATAATAATAATAATTTTCACCCTGCTATTCTTATATGAGCCTGCCATGGAAATTCTCCAAAATAAGCTTCATTTCCTCCTATGATTCTTTTTCTAAATTGAATGGCTGGTACTCCGCAAGATGGAGGTGGTGGAACCGGATAGAGATCATGTTTTTTTATTGGAGTTCTTTTATAATTTGGTTTACTACCCGTCGGTCCTTTACCAGCTAAACCTAATCGATAGAAAAAAAATAAACGTCGTCTCAACCAAAACGTGAAGTTTTCACGGGGGGGGGGAGGGAAATTTTTTTTTCATTACCTCCGGTTATGGGTGTGCTACTGGGTACGCAACACGTATAAAGCCAATCATAATCTTCACCGCAGCCACCGTGTGACGTACCTCCTACCAGCCAACAGGTAAAGGTAAAAGTACATTTATGAAGATTATTTTTATATGCGCACGTCGATGGCGATGCAAAAATTGTCGCCAAAAATCTTTCACCTTTAAAATTAATATATTAACACAAATTAATAATAATAATGATAAACTTCACGTGCTAAAAATTAAAAAAAAAAAAAAAATTTCTCCGGTTGTATTTAAAAAAAAAAAAATTGTCACTTAAAAATTATTAGAACAAGGAGTAGACAAAAATATATAAAAAAAAAAAGAGAAAGGCAAGGTAAAAAGAGACGACAATAGACAGTCATGCAGGCTCCACTCGGAGGCAGTAGGTCATCATCATCATCATCATTATCATTATCATCATCATCTTTACACAGTCAGCCTAATCTGAATCAGGATTCTGACGTCATCATTTCGTTAAATTATCGCCAAACTCGCATCCGAAGAAGAAAATGATCGTTAATAAAAACGACGCTTTCTCTTCCCTCTTCTTATTTTATTCACATCATCATCATTATTATTATCATTATTATTATTAATAATTTTTCTAACTGTTAATTTCTCGATTCCGATCCTGTTAAATTCTCGCAATTGAAAATTATTTATCAGTTTACTTTTGCTTTCTAATTTTTTTTTAAATGCGTGCCACATTTTTGCGCACATTTTTCTTTCGTTATTCCAGGTACATCCATGTGAATTTACTTACTTATGGAGGCCGAAAAAGAAATATTGAGCATCATGATAGTAAGGATGATGCCCCACGAAGGCTGGAACATCTCGCATTATAACCCTTTTGACCCTGAAACAAAAACCTATTATTATTATTATTATTATTTGGATACATAAAATTTATTAAATTTTTTTAAGTTTCATTTGTGGACGACAACCACGGACAAACGTAAAGAAAAAAATTAAACAAACGAAGTGTCCCTTAGTCAGTGCCAATCATTCGAAAATCGAATAAGTAAATTAATAACTTATTAATCCATAAATTTATTTATTTATTAATTTTATAAAAATCAATAAAAACTCGTCTGTTTTAAAAATAAATAAATATTTTACCTCATTACCTACTTATTAAAATCAAAAAAAAAAAAAAAAGCGATTTTATTTATTTACGTAGGAGTTAATAAATAAAATTATCATGTGATACATTAATAAATTTTTGAACGGGGGAAACAAACGTTTGTTGAATTTATTTAAACGGAAACAACAACAACCAAAAATTACACACACAAAAAAAAAATTTTTTACAAAACAATAAAACAAAAGAAAATAAAAACATAAAATTTTAAAACAACAATAAACATTAATAATAATAATGATAATAATAATTACGTTCGTACTTACATTAATAATAATAATAATAAACAATTATTTTTTACGACACACACAATGATATAT